GGAGAACGAGTGGGTTTTCAGGGCCCGCCATAGACACTGTCCTTCGAAGAGCTGAGACGCAGCTGAATTTGGCACGGGTCATGGGGCTGTTTACACAGGGACCTCTCCCCAGTGCTGAGATGTGGCTGCCTCTGGGGTGGGGCGCGGGGGCTGTTTATACAAGGACTCCTTGCCCGGTGTTGAGATACACAAGGGTTTGGGGAAACCAAGAACTAAAACAAACACAGTGCCCCCTAGGGGCATTGGGACCAGCCCCAATGGCCGGGTCCTTGTGAGTCTTCCACCCCAGCCAGACCCTGGCCTGCTCTTTCCCAGGCCAGTGGCACATCAGCTCTGTCCCCCTACGTTTGGGCCATGGCGGCTGTGCTGGGAGGCTGGTTGCTGAGAGGATCTTCCACAACAGGAAGTTTCCAGTTGGTGAGTTTGGTCCACCTCCAGCTGGTTCAGAGCTGGGCGAGAGCCACGGAGAGCAGGTGAGAGGGTCCCATTGACCACTGGGGTGTGGCCGCTTGGACACAGGACCCCAGCCAGTGGCGGAAGGGGCGAGCCCCGGGCAGGTTCCTGCTGGGACTGTGGCTGCCGGGTCTAGTGGGTTAGAACTCACTGCGCTGGATCCATGTGGATCAGGGCAGACCCCTGGTCATTGGGTGATATCCAGGGCAGGAACCCCGGTGTCCGGGCCGGCCCCTAGCTTGGTGTGGTACATTCTGCCTCTGGTTAATCCCCATTTGGCTTAAAGCTCTTTTAAATTAGCTGCCCGGGTGGTTTCCCTCAGTTGCTGTTAAACAGATGCCCCACCTGGAAGTGGCTGCATCTTAGCGCCAGCCGGGGAACAGATCCTTATATAAACAGCTCCCGCACCCCACCCCAGAGGTCACTGCATCTCAGCGCTTGCCGAGGGGTCCCTGTATAAACAGCCCCCGCACCCTACCCCAGAGGTGTCCACATCTCAGAGCTGAGCAAGGGATATTTGTGCATTACAAATGCAAGTGCTCCATTAGGAAGGAACAATCAGTTTCACACATACAGAATGGGAAGAGACTGTCTAGGAAGGAGTACTGCGGAAAGGAATCTAGGGGTTATAGTGGACCACAAGCTAAATATGAGTCAACAGTGTGATGCTGTTGCAAAAAAAGCAAACATGATTCTGGGATGCATTAACGGGTGTGTTGTGAGCAAGACATGAGAAGTCATTCTTCCGCTCTACTCTGCACTGGTTAGGCCTCAACTAGGGTTACCATATTTAGTGCCTCTGAAAGGAGGACACTCCACGGGGCCCCGGCCCCGCCCCAGCCCCGCCCCAACTCAGCCTCCTCCCCAAAGTCTCCACCCCCTCCCATGCTTCCCGCGAACATTTGATTCGCGGGAAGCCTGAAGCAGGTAAGGGGGAGCATGGGGGGAGGAGGCGCGGCCCAGGCTGGCCCCCCGGCGTTTCCAGCCTGGGTCGGCTCGGGCCCTGGGGTGCCGGCCCTAGGCCCGGCCGAGCACCCCCGGCCCGCCCAGCACTGCCGGTCCCCGGCCCGGCCCCCGGTCTCCCGGCCGAGCACCCCCGGCCGAGCACCCCGGCCCCCGGCACCGCAATGCCGGTCCCCAACCCGGCCCTCGGCACCACACCGCTGTCCCAGCCCCCGGCACCGCCGGCCCGTCCCCTGAGCCCCCGGCCCGTCCCGGCACCGCCGGCCCGTCCCCGAGCCCCCGAGCCCCC